AAGTTACCAATAACATCCCATAGCCTCTACCGAATGCATTTGAACTATTTGGAGCCGACCTCTTGGTGACCTACGTTACACCCAACGTCGGGATGTCTCCATTCAAGGTCCACCTCCTAGAACTCAATGCTGAGCCTGCGATCCATTTGACTGGTCCTCGTCTCGAGTGGGTTCTAGAAGAGCTATTTCAAGGGATCACAGAAACATGCATCGTTCCCTTTTTCTCCGGGACCCACGCGCAAATCGCTCAAAAACAGAGAGGAAACGACACCCCTCGCTTGCGAAAGTGCTTGGATGTTCAAATACGGGGAGCCAGCAGCTGGTGACGTAAAGTGAGATAGACAATATCGCGATCCCACGCAAGGACTCGTCCTGCTCGTTGCCTGCCCCGACGGACGGCAGAGAAGGCACGCGGCTTATTTATCTGTTGTACGGAACGGTCGAGAGCGCCGGCGAGATAGCACGCTGTTCCTGTATTTTAGCGGTCACCACTCTGTAATAGATTGAGTTGAGAGGCCTCACAAACGGTACAGGACTCCCATGAATCCGTTGAAAGTGCTGAAAGATAGCCCGCCGGATAACTTCAGGACAAGACGGCCCATGTAGTCGGGTCAGCCTGCAAGACTGGATACGATTCTTTGTGCGTAGTGCGTGACCCACCCTTCCAGGTTGACAGGTGAACGGACCACTAAGGGCGTGCATGGCTGGTCGCCCATCGATTGACGGGTTGCAGATTGAGAGTGCGAACATCGCCTGGACATGGTCCAGCTAGTGCAGGTTTACACGAGCTTGTCCCCTAACAAGATATTTGAAATGTAGCAGGCGGATGTGAGGCAGCCTGTTGAGTGCGTGGGTGGCCCCTTTGAGACACTTGTCGATCAGTAGTTGAAATTGTGAAGCTTTGGAAAAACTGCGTTGAGCAAGATCGTCCAGCGTTTCGGTCAAGATACGGTGACCTGTCCATAGAGTCGGGACGAAAGTGGCCAAGGCCCTAATAAAACGTCTCTTGGACTCCACGCTTTCCCGGGTCGCAGACACAATTTCCTTGCCATTTCTCAAAAAATGATTGCCCCCTCATCTGGTCCCAGAAAGCCTCGAGGGTCACGTCCGCCGCCATCTCATTCAAGCTCATCATCAAGCAGTGGCAGTCTATCTCAGAGTATATCCGGCTCTCGTCCAGCCGTCCCCTATTCGGAAAATGGAGGAGTATATGAACCATCGACTGGTTCTGATGACCATTCATCATTGGTTACATCGCTCAATAATCTCGAAATAGCGCAGCCCATTCCACAACCATACCAGAATCCATCGCTCAATGCCCCCATACAGCCGACGAGTCGCTCAACAACTCCAAAACCAAAGCTTTCACTTCTCAAAACTGGTGGAGGTGCGCTAGGAAGCATCGGAGCTCCTGATCCAGAAGTATTTGATACTGCTGATGTACCAGCGCTACCTCCATTACGTTCAAACGGCCCGTCTCTTGGGATACAGTTAGGTCTCCCAGTACGACAAGGATCTATGCCACAGTCAGAAGATAGCAGCTATTCGAGACCTACATTAAAACCTCCACCAATAGGCGGTGGCTCGAAGAGACGCGGCCCCCTACTTGCGATTCCAAAGAACTCATCACCAATGGGTGCCATTGGTGCTGATGAGCCGGACGCCCTTGATTTAATCGAAGTATCCGAGAGCCATGGACAGTCAAATGGTGGTCAGCCTGGTACCCCTCTCACTCTCGGTGGAGATGATGGCGAGGTAACGGTCCGTCCGGCATTACCCCAAGGCCATTCTCAAGCCAGATCACTAGACCTCGTCAAGGCTGCAATCTCTCCTCCGC